TGTATTTGAAGACCATAGAACCTTTTAGACCTTCTCTCCAGTAATCCACCACATGATACAACCCGTCATAAGTAAATGCTGAGATTTGTTTAGCCCTTGAATAACTGTCATCCTTGCCATTTTGACCTTTGAATCCATGGATCACTCGGACAGGTGTCTTTGTCTTGATGCAATTCTTCAAGGCAAGATTTCCCCTCTCTAGCTTTTGATCCTCACTTTTCTTCTTACCAGTAGGCTGTCCTCCAGAACCAGTGTATATTAGTTCACCTGAACTTGACAATCTATCAGGATAACCTCCAGAAGCAACGATGCTTATAGCAACAAGCACTCCATTATGATCGGCGGTATCGATTCCTCCCTGGTATGGACGGTGGAGACCAACAAGGGCTAGCTAAACTCTGTATAGAAATTCGTCACCAACTTCGACAACACGAACATTTCCCACAATAGGTCCAGGTTTGATAAAGCTCGGCAATTTCCGAACGATTTTATCAGCTTCAAGGTCAGCTCTTAGAACCTTCAACGAGCCCTGTTTGACAGCTTGTACAAGAGCCTGGCGTATAAACTGAAACCTCCTGCACAGCATCATGGTTTTCCTCCTATCATCAGCATTCCCACTTCCATGTTGCCCGTGATGCTGCACAGATGAGGAAGCATTGAGATACAACTTAAGTGTTCCATCATGAACAGCTAGTGCCTTCAAAATATCATCATCTTCCAAGATCAAAGCCTCTTTGTCGACAAGGTTGTCCTTGCCCCCTAATCCAGGTGTAGAGACAATCTTGATAGGAATATCTTTAGTTTGATATGCACCTTTTACCTTCAACTTCTTCTTAGGACCACATGGAGCACTATTTGTTACAACACACTCCTCTTTTCCCTTAGAGAAGGGACGTCTATGCAGAATGTTCAGTGGTGACTTGACTGCTTTTCTAGCTATCAATGGTATCTTACTTCTCATCATACAATCACCAAATACTTCTGTTGCAACATTCATGGATGATTTTCCCATCCTATCATTTTCACACTCCCTCGTACCCTTAAAATGTTCTTTGGAAGGACCCTCAGCACAAGGTTCAGCAGCGGCTCTGGGTAAGGTCCCTTTGCATTTGTTCATCACCTTAACATCTTCAGTAGCTGCAGCCATGGAATCATCCACAGCAACATTTTGTGAATCTACATCAGAGTATGCCTCCTCAGCCACCTCACCCTCCTCCAATTCCTGGCTAACCAAACTATCACCGCCATCCGAAGCCACCACCTCCTTTGACACACCACCACAAGAAGCATCAACAGCCATGAATTCCAAACCTGAACCAGTCTTAACGTCCCTCCCACATCCAGGAGGGAAGCAGCGCGTCACGGGTACCATCCTCCTCTTTGGAAGCACATTCGCGGCTTGAGCCATCACTTGCTTCCTCCCCAGCAATTCACCACTATTTGCTGCCCCTTCTTGTACACCGTTTTTCAGTGAACCAAGTTTGTGAGCGACCTGATTCTCATCCGAAGCATGTGAAGATTTGATGCACATTTGCAATTGGATCACCACCATCCACCACAGCTTCCAACGGCAAATCAGTTTTGCTGCCAGCGAGAGGAGGAGCAGTCGCCTGATCCAACGGACGAACACCACCGTCGGCATTGCGGCCGCGGCCGTGGCGGCGCCCGAGTGGAACAGCGGCGTCCCTTCCGCAACCTGGAGGAAACTGGCGAACGGCCGACACCGCCCTCCGCTTGGGCGGCGGCAGCGGCGGCGGCGAACGCGCGGCCCGCTCCTCCAACCCCTTCTTCGTCCCCACCTCGCCGCCATTTCTCTTCTCCTCCGTCGCCACCGCCGCGCCAGGATCCCGCTCGCCGCCGTGCGTGAGCGTGGCCAAACCACCGGCCACGGCCACTTGAGTCATCCCCTCCTCGCCGCGCCCCCGCGCTCTACTGGTCCCCTCGCCTGAGCCGCCTCGCCCATCCGCGGCGACGGGACGAGGTGGAAGCGCGTCCGGGCGGGCTTCGCGCTGCGTGCGCCGGCTTCTCCATGTCTCCGCCGCCTGGAGCAGCATCTCCGAGACGTCCAGCGTCGGCTCGCCCACCGATCGCCGCCCTGATGCAATCACCACCACTGAACACAAAGAGGACCAAATTAACAGTCACGCATCCCAGGCATTCGACGAAACCCAAGCAGAGGAGGTGACGAACAGAAACAGAGGCGTCCTCCTACCATCCTCCGCCGCACCACCGTTGACGGCCACCGCGTTCCTCCCCGTCCCCGTCCCCGTCCCCGCCGCGTCCGCTGCCCTCGGCGGCGCCACCACCGCGCCCGCGCGCTCCGCACCTCGTCCCCCTCCACCATGACTCTTCCACGTCCCCTCCTCCCCACCTCGCCCCCGCATTCTACCGCCCCCCCCCCCCCCCCGCCTCGCCCACCCGCAGCCACGGGACGAGGACGAGGAGGACAGCGAGACGGAATCGCCGTCGCGCGAGCGTCGCCGCCCCCGCCCCCGCCCCACTCCGCCCACCCGCTTCTCGGCGGCTCGCTCCGCCGCGCGGCGGCGGCGATCAACGCCTCCCAGCGATCCATCCCCCGCCGCCACCCGCCCTGCAAATCACCACCACCACCACCACCAAGCCCAAAAAACCCGCACCAAATTAGCCGTTACACACATCATCCAACACGCCATCACATCACAACACGACGAACCGAAGCAGCGAACACGAAGAACAACACAGAGGCGAGGCGTACGGACTCACCTCCTCGTCGTCCAGACACCGGCGGCGAGAGAGCGCGCGGCGAGGCCGAGGCGGCGAGGCGGCGAGCACGGCGACGCAGTTGGGGTTTTTGCGCGAGCAGCGAGAGAGAGAGAGAGAGAGAGAGTTGGTGGGGCCGAGAAGAGAAGGATGGGTGATGATTGGTGAGGCGAGGACACGTGGCGGGCGGACGCCGCACCAGAGGCTGAAGGTTGACTCGGGTCCGACTGTCCGAGACCAAACTGGTCCGGCTCGGTCGCGGTGCACGTGGCTGACCCAACGACGGGTGGGTCGTGTGTTTGCTTGCAACCCGCCTGGCGCCTTCTCGTTTTATATAGTACCGGTGAGGTTTGCATTGGAGTAGGAGTATTTACTGCGGCGTAAATTAGTAGACTGGTAGTGGGCATTATTGTGGCAATGATGCTGTTCTACGATGGTAGCTGCTGAAACGGCTGCTGCTACTCCCGCCGTTTCATTTCATGATATCATTAGTGCAAGTTTAATGGTATAGTAAACTATTGGCTCTAAATCATTAATAATTAACTTAATAGCCAATTTATACAATAGTTAATCCCTCCGTTTTAGATTATAAAACGTTTTAACTTTGGTTAAAGTCAAATTATTTTAAGTTTCATTAAGTTTATAGAAAATATAATAATATTTATAATATTAAATTAGTTTCATCAAATCAATAATTGAATATATTTTCATAATAAATTTGTCTTGTGTTAAAAATGTTACTACCTTTTTCTACAAATTTGGTTAAACTTAAAGCTATTTGACTTTGGCCAAAATCAAAATATCTTATAACCTGAAACGGAGGAAGTACATATAAACATATACTACACAATCAATATATGGTCTCATCTATCATACACACATGTGTCTTGGAGTCTGTGTTGTAGCTAGCTATAAATCTGTAGCCCGCTGCTCTTATCTTTCCTCTTTTATCTCCTTAAAATATATTTATAGCTGGCTTATAGTCTGTTATTGTACCTGCTCTTAGTCGTTTAAGTTTGATCCAGTTTACGCAAGACAAACATATTACCAAAATATATTTAATATTATATTTAGTTAAACTAAATTAGTGTTGCAGATGTTACTATATTTTTCTATAAAGTTGATCAAACCAAAAGTGTTTGACTAGAAAAAAAATAAAAACAACTTATAATATGAAACGGAGACCATACTATTTAGGGATAGTAACACTCCTCTTGTTTTCCTAATAGATTTTGTACTCACTTGGTTATGTTTTAGATAATTTTGGTCCAATTCTAAAACTTCGACCATAATTTTTAGTTTTTTTCACTGAGCGGTCGAAGGACGCCGTCTAAATTTTGTTAGATTTTAAAAGGATTTTAGAATATAAAATCTCAGGAAACTAGTTTTGCCAAGGTAAGACCATCTCATACCGCTTAAAGCAAGACCGCCTCAAGGTTCTTAAACCGCTAATAGCTACCGCCACACACTAGACTAGGTCTGCAACACCATGGCGCTGAACTCTGCCGAAGATACGCACAATGTGCTCCTTCCAGATCCACCAAGTGATCAAGATCATGGCTTTGGTGAGCCATTTTCGAGCACATCACCATCTATCCTAGAAGCAGTCGCGCGTGCGTCGAGGCATCGATGCAAGACCAAAGTCGTCAAGTGCTCTGTGCTAGCTAGCGCCTCCGCCGCCTCCACGGGAGGTCATGATGCACCTCGATGCCCGAGGACGCCTCCTTTGCCACGGTCTTCCTCCGGCAGCTGAGCTTCCGCCACCTCCCTCCTTTCTGTTAGGACTTGGGGGTAGAGAGAGAGAGATGGAAGTGGACGAAAGCGAGGAGGGAGACTGACCGAGCCCACTATTTTTTTATTACTTTTTGTTGTTTGGACTAACACATGTATGTCACCTAAAATCCAAACCGCTTCGGATTGAGTTAGGGGTTTTGTTGTCTGGTTTGAAAAGTTTAGGGGCGTAGATATGTCTGGTTTTGTAATTTATGGGGTTACTCGGATGGTGTCAATAGTTCAGGGGTAAATTCAGATTTTTTTTTCTAGTTCTTACTACGGGCGAAAATGGGACGGGCATTTTCCGACCACCTGCCTGGCCTGAGGCTCACAAGAACATGGGAGAGAAAATGGATATTCGATACTATCCAAGTTCGAATCCAAATTCGTAAAAGATATGTTTTAATAAGGGAAAAGTTGTGTCCACTCGTATTCCCATATTATTATTATACATATATGAAAATCTGTTATAAGTTCACCTACAAACATGATAAAATATTGATTACACTAGTTTATAATATCATAGGTAATATTACATAAATGTTTTCTTGCTTTATCTCTTTTGGTACTTTAATTGCCCCTCTATATTTAATATGCATGAATTGCACATAGAAATTCTTTCATGTATCCGATTTCGAGAAATTAATATGGAATGTGATACGGCACAAGTGACATGTTATCCGATCCGGCACTACCTATACCCGATTTTAAATTTGAAGGAAAAATATAGGTTAGGATAGTACGAGATGGCCGGGCCGGAGTTCTATCGGTCGAACCTTCTTGTTATAGGTTGCCGAAGTGCCTTCCGTGTACTTGCGCATGTGTTCTAGTGCTTCGACTCTCACCCCTTCCAGGAGTTCGAGCGACACTTCACGCCCATTTTCGCCACCGGAAAACATCACCCTTGAGATTCAAAACCATACTATGAAGAGTGAGATTGAGAATTTTCTAATCAATATATTACAAAACAATTTTGCTATACATTTGTCGATAAATTTTCTCCTAAAAATTTGGCAGATGTAATACAGAACAATCGTAATGTAATTATAATGTAACTTACATGTAATTATACTGTAACTTGCATGTAACTACAGTCTAACTTATACATAACTTTCACATAATTTTGGACCGTTAGATTTGTTTCAAGATTTGTGCAAGTGAGGAAGGAAAAAAATAACACACACATATGTCAGAGGATTCGTTCCCACGACTTCCGTTTCACCGAAATAGTATACTACGAAGAAACTTTTAAAAGTTACATACAAGTTATAATAGTTACAGTGAAATTACCACCGTGTTTAGTTCCAAAATAATTCTTCAAACTTCCAACTTTTCTATCACATCAAAACTTTACACACACAAACTTCTAACTTTTTCGTCACATCGTTCCAATTTCAACCAAACTTCCAATTTTGGTGTAAACTAAACACAGCCTACATCACAATTGTCCTATAATTTCATTTGTCAAATTTTTAGAAGAGAATTTGTCGACAAATGTATAGGTGATCCCATCCAGTGTACACTGTACTCAAGCAATTCTCCACGAAAGTCATATTTACTCTTTTTTATTGACACGTGAAGGTGAAAATGCCAAGGCTACCAGCACAACAGCCAGCAGGTTATCTAACTGTCCTGACTCCTGAGAATAGAGTATTAGAGTATGCATTCCTAATTCTGGTCACTTTTGTCCTTCAATTCGTATTTTGGATGGATTTTTAATTGAAGCTTGAGATGTGCTCCTATCTACAATCTGGAATAACCTTGAGATCAATTAGTTGATGAATTCATTTGTAAGTGGACAACTACGCCACATATTCTGTAATTCAGACAAGTCATCATATAATGCTTTCTTTTTTTCATTGGTTTATAGTAAGCTTTCCTACAGTTAAATAGTTAGTACAAAAATTGGGCTCCTGAAATTGAAATCAGTGATGGAATATATTTTGAAATACATTTTGTTCTATGACTTCTATCAGCTAACCAAATTTTCTTCAGGATGTTGTCATGATTTTACTGCATCTTGTTAATAGAAATGATTTTGATTTTCATGAGTGTGATTTTCATATTTGGGCACACTCTTATACGAGCTAACCCACGGCAGCTGTGGTGCACAGCTGAATTCAGGGGTTTTGGTGATTGACAATCCAATCCACATACTCATGTTCTTGTTACTGGCATCTTGTCTGGTGCATTTTGAAGGTGTCACCTTCTATGATCCAAGTACACACTGAAGGAGAAGTGGTAGCTTTTGCACAAGGCAAGAAACGGTTATATTCCAATGCATGCACTTTTTTCTTTTCACAAATATATCTAAGATTGCATGGTTGTTATCGCAAAGATACCTCTGGAAAATGCATACAAATATGGACGGCGCTGTGGTTTGGCCGTCGTGCGTCGAGATGCAGAATGAGGCTTGGGCCGATCTAACAAACCAACGAGTCCTGTTTTGCTTCGATTGGGATAATCGGAAGACTAAATTGCCCCTTCACCTTAACGAAGTACATGACTAAAATAGCCATAGCTTTAGATGATCTGCTTCCTACTACACTACTACCATAACCAATAGGGGTACAGTAAAATGTCCCCTTTAGATACCCTGCAACTATAACATACCTTCAACCAGGCCCATGTAACTTCTTGTCCTTCTAAGCTAATTATATCACCCAGGACAAAAAAAATACATCTTGATTCTGTACCTAACAAGCAAGAGAGTTTAGATTGGCGTAAGTATCCATGGTGTAGAAAAGAATCTCATTGTACCATTTACTGCCTGAATCATTTGTTAAGACTAAATAATAAGCTTACTAGAAAAGATTTAGATGATCAACCTCATCGACCAGCATGAATTCTTTGTAGTCTGTATTTGAAGACCATAGAACCTTTTAGACCTTCTCTCCAGTAATCCACCACACGATACAACCCATCATAAGTAAATGCTGAGATTTGTTTAGCCCTTGAATAACTGTCATCCTTGCCATTTTGGCCTTTGAATCCATGAATCACTCGGACAGGTGTCTTTGTCTTGATGCAATTCTTCAAGGCAAGATTTCCCCTCTCTAGCTTTTGATCCTCACCTTTCTTCTTACCAGCAGGCTGTCCTCCAGAACCAGTGTATATGAGTTCACCTGAACTTGACAATCTATCGGGATAACCTCCAGAAGCAACGATGCTTATTGCAACAAGCACTCCATTATGATCGGTGGTATCGATTCCTCCCTGGTATGGACGGTGGAGACCAACAAGGGCTAGCTCAACTCTGTATAGAAATTCGTCACCGACTTCGACTCCACGAACATTTCCCACAATAGGTCCAGGTTTGATAAAGCCCGGCAATTTCCGAACGATTTTATCAGCTTCAAGGTCAGCTCTTAGAACCTTCAACGAGCCCTGTTTGACAGCATGTACAAGAGCCCTGTGTATAAACTGAAACCTCCTGCACAGCATCATGGTTTTCCTCCTATCATTAGCATTCCCACTTCCATGTTGCCCGTGACGCTGAACAGATGAGGAAGCATTGAGATACAACTTAAGTTTTCCATCATGAACAGCTAGTGCCTTCAAAATATCATCATCTTCCAAGATCAAAGCCTCTTTGTCGACAAGGTTGTCCTTGCCCCCTAATCCAGGTGTAGAGACAATCTTGATAGGAATATCTTTAGTTTGATATGCACCTTTTACCTTAAACTTCTTCTTAGGACCAAATGGAGCACTATTTGTTACAGCACACTCCTCTTTTCCCTTAGAGAAGGGCCATCTATGCAGAGTGTTCAGTGGTGACTTGACTGCTTTTCTAGCTGTCAATAGTATCTTACTTCTCATCATACCATCACCAAATACTTCTGTTGCAACATTCATGGATGATTTTCCCATCCTATCATTTTCACACTCCCTCGTACCCTTAAAATGTTCTTTGGAAGGACCCTCAGCACAAGGTTCAGCAGCGGCTCTGGGTAAGGTCCCTTTGCATTTGTTCATCACCTTAACATCTTCAGTAGCTGCAGCCATGGAATCATCCACAGCAACATTTTGTGAATCTACATCAGAGTATGCCTCATCAGCCACCTCACCCTCCTCCAATTCCTGGCTAACCAAACTATCACCGCCATCCGAAGCCACCACCTCCTTTGACACACCACCACAAGAAGCATCAACAGCCATGAATTCCAAACCTGAACCAGTCTTAACGTCCCTCCCACATCCAGGAGGGAAGCGGCGCGTCGCGGATACCATCCTCCTCTTGGGAAGCACATTCGCGGCTTGAGCTAACACTTGCTTCCACCCCAGCAATTCACCACTATTTGCTGCCCCTTCTTGTACAACATCCTCCAGTGAACCAACTTTGCAAGCGACCTGATTCTCATCCGTAGCATGCGAAGATTTGCTGAAGATTTGATGCACATTTGCAATTGGATCACCACCATCCACCACAGCTTCCAACGGCAAATCAGTTCTGTTGCCAGCGAGAGGAGGAACACCACCGTCGCCATCGCGGCCGCGGCCGTGGCGGCGCCCGAGTGGAAGAGCGGCGTCCCTTCCGCAACCTGGAGGAAGCTGGCGAACGGAGGACACCGCGCTCCGCTTGGGCGGCGGCGGCGAACGCGCGGCCCGCTCCTCCATCCCCCTCTTCGTCCCCACCTCGCCGCCATTTCTCTTCTCCTCCGTCGCCACCGCCGCGCCAGCATCCCGCTCGCCGCCGTGCGTGAGCGTGGCCAAACCACCGGCCACGGCCACATCCACTGTTCTCACCAGCGCCATCATCTCGCCATCTCCGCCACGAGCCGTCCCCTCCTCGCCGCGCCCCCGCGCTCTACTGGTCCCCTCGCCTGAGCCCCCGCGCCCATCCGCGGCGACGGGACGAGGAGGATGGCGAGGTGGAAGCGCGTCCGGGCGAGCTTCCCGCTGCGTGCGCCGGCTTCTCCATGCCTGCGCCGCCTGGAGCAGCATCTCAGAGACGTCCAGCGTCGGCTCGCCCACCGATCGCCGCCCTGATACAATCACCACCACTGAACACACAAAGAGGACCAAATTAACAGTCACGCATCCCAGGCATTCGACGAAACCCAAGCAGAGGACGTGACGAACAGAAACAGAGGGCGTTCTCCTACCATCCTCCGCCGCGCCACCGCCGACGGCCACCGCGTTCCTCCCCGTCCCCGTCCCCGCCGCGTCCGCTGTCCTCGTCGGCGCCACCACCGCGCCCGCGCGCTCCGCACCTCGTCCGCCTCCACCATGAGCCGTCCACGTCCCTTCCTCCCCGCCTCGCCCCCGCATTCTATCACCCCCCTCGCCTCTCCCACCCGCAGCAGCCACGGGACGACGGGGACAGCGAGACGGAAGCGCGGCCGCGCCCGCGCGAGCGTCGCCGCCCCCGCCCCACTCCGCCCACCCGCTTCTCGGCGGCTCGCTCCGCCGCGCGGCGGCGGCGATCAACGCCTCCCAGCGATCCATCCCCCGCCGCCACCCGCCCTGCAAATCACCCCACCACCACCACCACCACCACCACGCCCAAAAAACCCGCACCAAATTAGCTGTTACACACATCATCCAACACGCCATCACATCACAACACGACGAACCGAAGCAGCGAACACGAAGAACAACACAGAGGCGAGGCGTACGGACTCACCTCCTCGTCGTCCAGACACCGGCGGCGAGAGAGCGCGCGGCGAGGCCGAGGCGGCGAGCCGGCGAGCACGGCGACGCAGTTGGGGTTTTTGCGCGAGCAGCGAGAGAGAGAGAGAGAGAGAGAGACAGAGTTGGTGGGGCCGAGAAGAGAAGGATGGGTGATGATTGGTGAGGCGAGGACACGTGGCGGGCGGACGCCGCACCTGAGGCTGAAGGATTGACTCGGGTCCGACTGTCCGAGACCAAACTGGTCCGGCTCGGTCGCGGTGCACGTGGCTGACCCAACGACGGGTGGGTTGTGTGTTTGCTTGCAACCCGCCTGGCGCCTCCTGCAGGTGGTTCGCTAGCTTCTCGTTTTATACTGGTGAGGTTTGTACTGTAGGAGTATTTACTGCGGCGTAAATTTTTACTGGACTGGTTAGTGGGACGTTATTGCTGTAATGATATTGTTCTACGATGGTTGATGCTGAAACGACTGCTGCTACTCCTGCCGTTTCATTTTGGGCCTATTCATTTTAATGTCATTTTTTATTTTATCAAATTTTAGTAAAGTTGCTAAAAAAAGTGGCTATATTTAGTTTGCTGCTAAATTTTAGTAACTATATAAGAAATCCTACCAAAATTTTAGCAAAATTTGATAAGGTTTTTTTTTTCATCAGAGTGAACAGGCACTTCATGATATCATTAGTCGTTTAGTGGAAGAAAGCGAGGAGGGAGACGTGCCACTGGAGCCCACTATTTTTTTTTAGATTGAGTTAGAATATCTGGGGTGTATAATATCTATTTTATATAGTTTATGAGTGTATTTAATTTCTAACGGTGGCAAAAGTTTAGAGGGGTTAATTCAAACTTTTTCCTAGTTCTTACTGGGGTAAAAACGAGATGGGCATTTTCCAACCGCCCATGTGACTCGAGGCTCGTAGGAAGAATACAGGACATAAAATGGATATTCAATATTATCCGAATTAGAATCCGAATCCGTGAAAAGATATGCTTGTATTTCCCATGTTATTAAACACATATGGAAATATATTATAAGTCCACCTACAAGGCTACAAACATGATAAAATATTGATTAATCACTATTTTACAAGATCATAGGTAATATTGTATATTTTTTTCTTAATTTATCTCTTTTAATACTTTAATTGTCCATCTATATTTAATATGCATGAATTGCACATAGAAATAGATTTCCGTGTATGAATCTGATTCCGAGGAAATAATATGAGATAGGATACGGGATGAGTGATATGTTATCTAATCTAACACTATATCTGTACATGGTTTTAAATTAAAGGAAAAATATAGGTTAGGATAAAAAATGCCGTGATCCAACCCTACATGACCCCATTTTACCCTAGTTCTTACCATGGAATAATTCAGTCACGACGGGTTTACTTGACTCCAATTTTCCACACGCTGGATCAAGCCGTCCACAGTTCAGAACTGAGAACACAAACCACATGGGGTCATCTAGCACGGAACGAGGCAGGCAATCTACCTGTACTCCTTGAAGGTACACATGCCAGAAACGGTAAGGGTACTCACTGAAGTTTCCCGGGAAACAGGAAGAAAGAGGGCAAAGCTTATCTTTTGCAACGGAATCATATGTCCACTACTACCAAGAAGGGTTTCCTAGGCGGCTAGAATTTCTTTTCACGCACAACTACGAAAAACATATTTTGTAGCAACCAAAATAGGTTATTGTTGGCAGTCATAAGCTCCGCCACATACCAAGGGTCCATACGGGTGGTAGAGCATCCGTGCGCGAATTTCTTTTCATAAATGGTTAGGGCATCCACCCGAAACTAGATGTTGGTAAAAATTAGTAGGATTTATATATACGGCTCCACAACCATATGTAAAAACTTGATTTTCTTCATCCAGAGAGAGATATGGTTTGTTTGTTATGGAAGGATAGTGGTTTCCCACCAATTTAGCTTTGATGGTTTACTTGACTCCAAATTTCCATACCGTGTGTCAAGCCATCAAACAATCATATATAGCACAAATCACATGGACTGTTTGGTCATCTTGCACAAAATGAGGCAAGCATCCTACCTGCACCTCTAGAAAGTAGTACCAGTAGAAAACGGATACATGCCCAAAACGGCATCCATTATTCCATTAAGTTCCCCGGAAAACACGAAGAAAGAGAGGGTAAGCATATCTTTTGCAACGGAATCGATCGAGGTCGAGGTGTCTTAATTATTGGAAACCATATGCCAATATCTTGCCATCATGTATGTATTTATGTGTAGTGGTGTGATGATATATATATATCGATTGATCTACTTAAAAGAAAACGAGAAATGTGAAAATTATAAACCACAAGCAACCTAGTGCTTTACTGGTTGCACCTACCTACCCTTCGATAAAAAATGGAAAACTATTAATTGGTATAGCTAGGTTGTACATTGCACGAAGGAAAATTTTGGTTTGTGCTAAGAGTCGGAAAACTGTCTAAGTCTATACTTTGATCTATGTAGGCTAGGAGAAATTGTTAGGTCTAAATGTTAGTACGTACTGCTTTTCTATGTTCCGGCTATCAATGCGTCAGGCGCGGCAGTGGCGACGGCGATGACGGGAGCTCGGGCGGCAGTGGGGCTAGGGTTTTTCTTTTGGAATTTTATATTTTTGTGATTTTTTTCTTTTTACATGCGGTCGGCTTAAGCGCCCGCTGGTTGTGCTAGCTGCATGCAAAAATACCGATTTTCACATACCTTTTCACGCATGTGGCTGCAGCAACCGCATGCAAAAATCAGTTTCACCCGTATGCAAAAACGTGTTATGTAGTAGTGATGGTTTACCTAGTGGAACATACAAAATAAAAACACACCCCCACAATATTTCGCAAATGGTGGTATAAAATAGGGAGAGAAAAATACATATTTTTAGCAAAGTCAATTTAGCCTTATGGTTATCAACTACTACCTCCATCCCAAAATATTTGACGCCGTTGACTTTTTTAAAAATGTTTGACCGTTCGTCTTATTCAAAAAATTTAAGTAATTGTTAATTCTTTTTCTATCATTTGATTTATTGTTAAATATACTTTTATGTATACATATAATTTTACACATATCGCAAAAGTTTTTGAATAAAACGAACGGTCAAACATATTTTAAAAAGTCAACGGTGTCAAACATTTAAGGAATGAGGGAGTATATCATAAATATACTGATAATTTTACTAGAGTTACCAACTATATCATAAATATAAAGATAACAAATTCAGTAAGACATCACCCTGCAAAATTCTAAGCAATAGATACTGACCATAACATGCTCATGAAGAAACTGGCTATCAGTATCATCGGCTCCTGCCTCCTGGGTGCACTGCAACTATGCAGCACGCAGATCCGTGGTGAACTGGGTCAAGCAAGCAAGGCAGGATTCTAATGCTCAAGTGAAGATAGAAATATGTACAACGCCGCAGAAGTAGATCTAGCACTGAGAGAGTAACAATGATCAATCAAAATTGGAGCAATAATCAAAACACATCTGGAAGGATTTGTGGTGTTGCATCCAAAGCCAAGCAGCCAGCTGAAACACCATGGCCAAAGACGACTGGCCATGCATATGCTAATGTTTGGTATTGGAGCTGATCTAATACACTGTATAATTTAAATAATTATGTGATTAGTGGGTTGGTATAAAACATAAGCTAGTTTGTTGGGCGAGGCATTGGCTCCGCCTCTGGGGTTTAGCTAGCAAGATAGTAACACAGAATGTCCTTTTTATTACTATACGGAAGAAAATAGTGGTACTGGTTCTGTTTGGTAATGCTGCATTACAGATGTAGCCGGCTGCGCTGCACAGCCGGAGCTACACATTTTTTACCGTGTAATGTAGCTGCTGCAGTCTAAACAAGTACTCTACTATATTTTGCAATGTAAATTCACTACTACAAAACATCAAATAGATATCGGTACTATAGGTGCCGGAAGTGCTAAAACCGGTACCTATAGGTCTTTTTCCACTTTCGCAGGTTGAAATCGCAAAAAAAAACGATACCTTTAAGCAATTATAGGTACCGGTTCTAAATAAGAACCGACACCTATTCTATAGGTGCCCCCTTTTTTTTAAAAAAAATGGTACCTTTAATATATTATAGATATCGGTTAATTAAAAGCTGACACCCACAGAAATCGAGCCGAGCCGGCAGGCCCCACCACGACGAGATAAGGCCGAGGGGATAAGAGGTTCGCTCGCTTCTCGATCTCTCTCTTGCCCCTCTCTCTCTCACTCTCTCGCTCGCTCGCTCTCGCCCCCTCCTCCTTCTCCCCACATACGGTGTCGGCGGTGGTGGCTTCTCTCCCACGACAGATGCGGCGGTGGGCGAGGCGGCCTCGACGGCGGCCGGGGTGGCAACGGCGGGTGGAGCCGCAGTCGAGGTCGGCGTCGGCGGCAGAGGCTTCTCCCAAGGACGGAGTGGTGGCGGCGGTGGCGGCTCCCACGACGGATCTAGCCTCAACGGTAGCCGGGGCCGCATCCGGGGTCGGCGTCGGCGGCGGAGGTTTCTCCCGCGGGTGGAGCGGTGGCGGCGGCGGCTCCCGCGACGAATCCGGCGACGTATCGGCAACGGTGATTTGTACTATAAATTTGATTTTGTTTCTATGAAATTGTTGAGGGATCTGTGATTTGAGCTTCTTTCACATGTGATTTGTGTGAAACTTTTATGATTTGTGCTTTGAGGGATCTATCATTGGATGGATCAAAGATGGTGCTTTGAGGGATATGTCTTGGATGGATCGATGGTGACAGTGTGTGAAACTTCTGTGATTTGCTTTGGATCGATGGGGTCTCGAGGTGATGGGGAACGGCTCGATGCATCGAGACCCCCCCCCCCTTTTTTTTGGATTCTTGGGACCAAAAAGGTGCCGGTTCCTAAACCGGCACATTTGAATATTGTTGGATAGTAGAAGAGAGAGATATACTGTGAATATTAGACACGTTGTATTGAGCCTCAGGGGGCCGGTATATATAGGAGTACAAGGGGAGGAGATAAGGAAGGAATCCACACATATCAATCCTATCCTAATATGACTCTAACTACCATATACTCTAACATCCCCCCGTAGTCCATGCGTGAGCAAAGCGGACACTTGGATTGGAGAAGAAACCAGCAAGAGTGCTCAAGACGAATGATTGCCCTTTGTGCCATGTCGATGTAGCCAAAGCGAAGGATGCGAAGGACCCGTGGGCGACGAAGCCGTGCGTAAAGTAGCCATGGTCGATGTAGCCGAAGTCGGGAAGCTGATGTCGAGGTACCCAAGCCGCAGAGCGCGCATGGGGCGCCGTAGAGTGGTCGTGGACGCACAGGAGGG